AGCAAATATTACTTCTCTGCGTTAATAGGTTAGTGCATGCCGTCAAGCATTGTCTGGCATTTTCGTATCAAAGTTATAGCCAATAAATTTAGCTTTGCAATCTTTATACAAAGCGAAATGAACATTCGTGTAAACCTTATTTTGCATTTCTTGTTAACTGGGGCAAGAAATGAGTTAATTTTAATGCCTTCAAAACTGCTACCTTTTAATTAACATAGAAAAACTTTTTCACTTCCAGGAGAGTGACACGGGTGCCTTCTTAGTCTGACGTTTTCCATTGACATTAAGTGGAAAGATTATATTGAATCAATTGCTAGATCTGTTGCTAGGAAAGTTGACCCCCTTTGTCGTACTAGACAATTTTTCTAAATCCATCTTACACATTCATAAATGTACCTTTTGTCCGTGCATTGAATAATGCTGCCATATCTGGCCTGAGGTTCCTGCTATATATCTCGAGATTTTCGACAAATTCCAAAGAGGGGGCTGTAATGTCATTGATCCTGGCTTCTCATCTCGACTTCGGTCACGTTCCCATCGCCGTGACGTGGCTTCCCTCTGTCGTCTCTGTAAATATTTTCATGGCACTGCTTCTTTACATCTCATCTGGATGAATTTAAACGTACTACTAGATTGGCAATTAGGTCCCATTGGCTTAGTGTTGAATTATCTAAATGTAACCGTAATTTCTATTCTAATAGTTGCTGTTCTCGGATTTTTCTCGCCTGTGGAACTCCATTCCCATTTATTGCTCTCTTGCTTCCGAGCTTCAAAAATTTAAATTCAACGTCAATTGACATCCTTCTTTAATTCTATTACTTTATTGTCTTTTCTCCTGACTAAACCTTTTTCATTGTCTTTCATTCCCAGTAACCCCTTGCGTCTTGCTTAAGGGTGAAATGATTAAAAAATGTTGTAACACTATATCAAGTTAACATTTTTCTTTAATTTCTTTATACTCTTATACGATTTTCTGTTCTTGTTTAATCTGTTTTCCATTTCATCCAATTTTTTTACAATCCATGTCCCTTCAGGACGTTAACAGTCACGACTCTCCACAGCTTCTTTTCTTTAATATCTGCAAATAACCATGACTTCCTGGGAAAGATAGTCGAATAGATCCCTGTTGCCTTTTTAACGGTTTTGAATTCAGTGTAATTCTCCTAGACTAGCTGCCAACCAAGGTGAGAGAGCCTAGTCTACCCTTTTATTTAAGTCATAGCTTTCTTTAAATATCAGGTCATCCCATAAGTTCTGTCCGAATTTTGAATAAAGAAAACAAGTGATCAAATCTTACATTTAATTACAGATTCAATCAACAATGTATTTTCCCTGATTATCTATGTCATCCTTCCATCTATTAACAAGCTTACTAATTCCATTACTGTAAAATTCTTTTTGCTTTGATTCGAAGAACTCACAAATGTCAGTTTTAAACTCTTCCTGTATTACAAAAGCTGTTTCTTCCAAATGATTCTGTAAGCTACGAAACAGATGGTAGCCCGAAGGAGAAAGATCGGGAGAATAAGGTGGATGAGGAATTTTCTCCTAACCAAGTTCTTCGTGATTCTTACTGTGTTGGGTCGCGCATTGTCCTGATGAAACATCACCCCTTTTCGATTCACTAGAGCAGGTCTTTTTTCCTCAAAGTTTGGTTCAAACGATCTAATTGCTGACAGTATATTTGAGCATTAATTGTTACATTAGGTGGTAAGAATTCAAAGTGGATTATTCCTTGGCGATCCCACCAGATTGAAAGAACCTTATGCCCATGAAGTTCCCTTCTTGGCTGTGGCTAGGGTCCTTCCTCTTTACCAAGCCACTGTCTACGACGCTTAACATTTCGATAAAAGATCCATTTTTCATCGCCAGTCACAAGTCTATCCAAAAAAGGTGAAACAAGTTGGCGAGAATGGAGAGAAGAGCAGATGTCAACACGGAATTGAGGTTGTTTTCAGACAATTCATGAGGCACCCATTTTCCAAGTTTAGGAACTTTTCCAAGTTGTTGAAGATGACGATGAACAGTTGTATGGTTTGAACTGAGAACCACTGCCAATACCTCAACTGATAAAGCAGGATTTTTTCAAGGGCTGCTTCAAGAAGCTTTTCATCAAACTCAACTGGACGTCCGGTTCGATCTTCATCTTCAAGGGTGAAATCTCCACCTCGGAATTTTGCAAACCATCTTCTGCAAATTCTTTCATTCACACATTCCTCTCCATAAACTGAGTGAATGTTTCTAGCCGCTTCGCCTGCTGGGTTTTCTTTCTTGAACTCATAAAGCATTATGTACCTCAAATGATTCTTGGGTACTTCCATGTTAGCAGGGTTTTAATCAAACAAAATTTAATTTTATTGTTCTCTGAAATAAAATTTGATCAGTTTAAATGCATCTAAACATAAAAATAATGTCAGCTCCATTAGACATTATAAAATACTCTTTAAATTTCGTTCATTTTAACAAAAAATTAAAATTCGGACATAACTTATGGGATGACCTGATAATTATATGGCATTTACTTGTTATTCTGTTAGCGGTTCGGAAGCTAAGTTCGAATTCCAGTCGAGTTCATTATCTTCACTTACACAAAAATACTCTTAGGAAAGCTATAGATTCATCTCTTCTTCCTCCAACTATGGGTTAAATAGTAGCACTTGTATCAGTAACAACCATTATTATCACTAAAGAATTGTTAATGTAATATTCATTCGCAAAAAAAATTATTATTATTACAATCCCAAATATAGGTTTCGATTTTAAATAAACCGAAAAGGGTTGATTAACCGCCCCCACCAAAAAACCAAAAAAAAAACAAAACAAAACAAATAAAAACATATGAATCATTCAAACAACCTTCGGGATCTCTTCCCTCGACGACAATCAGCAGACCAACATTTAGCCGTTGCATATAAAGGCCAGTCTTTATGGTAAACATTTTGTAATAGATAGATTTCATAGATCTACTAAGACGTAATCTGCTCCAATATGTACCTGGACCCTCATGTTATCATCTATCTTTAAGAGTCAGATCAGCCCGAAAATGGAGTAATTTTGTCATATTTGTCCTAGAGCTGCCCAGTCCTCACTTTCTAGTCTCGATAGAGCGTCTCCGAGTCCTTTTGGGTGACAAATTGTTTCCCATCCTCCAACCTCTCTCTTTCAAGTGGGAATTGGCGAGCCTCTCGCTGCTTTATCGCTACTACCATGGAAAGTGCTCGGAAGAACTGCATTCCTTGGTTCCGCCAGGTCTAACTTTCACGGCTAGGACCCGCCATGCCACATATCGTAGCAAACCATCCACATTCCTTCCGTAAGAGAAGTAAGTTCCACTCGAACAGCTTCTACCTGCGAACCACTGCTTTGTGGAACCGACTCTCAAGAGGACGTTTCTCTGAGTACGACAGTCTTAACCTATTGAAGTCTAAGGGTAACCGTTATCACCCCCTATCTGTATGAACTGTCTCTGAATGTAACCCTCAGCAACGAGTGCCCCCTCCTTACGAGCCTTGTACACAGTAAACCTTACTGTAAAAAAAAAACAAATCTAAAATTCAGTAACAGCTCGGTACTTCAATTTCCCTAACAATGTCCTTAACACAATATCCATGCAGAAACGAACATGCTAAATCTAGAATCACTGCTGGACTGGGGATGTCTATCGTTTGGACGGCTCTCGATTGCCGAATATCGCTCTGTATGGCGATCTAAAGCGCGGGAGGTGACGGCGAGGTGGTCAAAGAGTTCTCCATCAAGAGGGACTTGAAAGCGATGCAGATTGTTATTAACAACTGGGAACAACTGACTACTAAGCACCATACATGGCGCCGAATGCTTCATATTGGAGGAGAAACAATCGTGGCATTGAGACTTGGATAATCGATTGTGATGATGACTTCAAATTCGGATTCCGACTTTCGCCGATCATCGCTTTAATATATTTGTTGTTTCTGAAATATAACAAGAAAATATGTAGAACAATGGAATTATTCGATTTTGCGAAAGATATAGATATAAAGGTGTACATGTGGTGGCATAGATATCAACAGAAAGAGTGAAACTGTAGAGCCGAGTTCATATCTTCGCCTAGCCTAGTGAGATTACTTTCATTCAAATGTCTCTAATCCTTGGCTGGCAACTAGTATAGAAGAAAGACAATTTTGAATAAAAAAGACAACGGAAAAGTACCTGACTATCTTTACAAAGAATTTTGGTTTATTTTGTTTTACGGTATATCAACCTCAATAAATGCCGATAAAAATTTTGGTTTGGTTTGGTTTGCTTTACGGCATATCAACCTCAATGGTTTATTTAATGCCGACAAGATTTTTGGTTTGGTTTGCTTTACGACATATCAACCTCAATGGGTTATTTAATGCCGACAAAACTTTTATTGCTGATAATAATCTTTTCATAAATGTATTGCTGCTAATATTTTTTCCAGTTTAAAATAAGAAAAATCGTGAAATGTTCAACGGCTCTTTCTAGTATTGATTATAATATGGCAGTCAAACGGAACAATAATTTGAAATGATTTGAAAAGGGATCATATCTTATATGTCTCTCTCTATATATATACATATTATATATTAAAAGGGCTCTCTACTTTTTTTAGCTCCTCCCTCTGTAAGTGATTCTAAAAGAAATTGGGACTATTCATCTGGGTCAAAAAGTGATAGTTATAAAAACGGAAGAAGAATGCAATGAAAAAAATTAATGATTGATTCTTTAGTTGGTTGTTCTTAGCGACCCCATCTAGACGAAAATATCCAGAGCATTCCAGTCGTTATTTTGGGTTCATCAATAGGCACAGGAATGAGATCAAACAGTTTAACGTAATTATTACGATCTGGAATGATGATTAGCTCGTAAAGTGACAGTTATAATTAACTCGTGAAAGTTAACAATTCTTTTCCTCTATGCGTTAGCTGAAGCAGTTAAGGTGTTCTACTCTAAATAGAACTACAGCAGACTTCTTCTAATGTTCAACCTCCGGAGCACGGCCATCACACGTTGAAACACAAGTTCTCCTACTATCATCGAAGTTAAGCAACGTCGAACCTAGTCAGTACTTAGATGGGTGACCACTTAGGAATACCAGGTGATGTAAGTCTAGATGTGTGGGTAATTATATCACGTTGAAACACTGGTTCTCGTGCGATCATTGAAGTTAAGCAACGTCGAACCTAGTCAGTACTTAGATGGGTGACCACTTAGGAATACCAGGTGCTGTAAGTCTAGATATGCGGGTAATTATATCACACTGAAACGGCGGTTAGCGCACGATCACCGAGGTTAAGCAACGTCGAACCTAGTCAGTACCTAAATGGGTGACCACTTAGGAATACCAGGTGCTGTAAGTCTAGATGTGCGGGTAACTATATCACATTGAAACAGCGGTTCTCGTACGATCACCGAAGTTAAGCAACATCGAACCTGGTATATACCTAGATGGGTGAACGCTTGGGAATAACAGGTGCTGTAAGCATGGATGTGCGGCTGGTGTAAATGATAACGTCACGGAATTGGAAATCGGAGAGCCAAGTTTCGATTCCAATCGCGTTCGTTATATTCACTTACGCGCAAATACCTTTGGGAAAGATATGAATTCGCCTTTCTCTTTCCAACTATGGATTAATTACTACAACTAATAATAGATAATTAGTACTACTAATCGAAGGTTATTAAGATTATTGCCTCTCTTATCCCATCCCCAAACATCCAAACACATTTTCCTTACACAGTTTTGTTTTCCATTTCGACCTAAAGAATCCGAGACCAATAGACGTTGGTGAAACACGTCGTTTATAAGGCTTTCCGCATTGTCTCATCATCTTCACATCAGTAGGACTTGTATAAGTAAATCATTATTATCTCAGAAAAATTAAAATTTAAAAATATTTGCTGCTTTTAAATAAACTGCAAAAGGTTGATAAGCCGTAAAAAAGCAACAATCCATAATCAGTCAAATTTGGCAATTCAAAACATCTCGTAATTTAAATGATATTCAGTGACTGTTTGGCATAATCAATAACATAAAACTTCCACCTCCCATTAGAATTGAGGCGCCTTTATTATTGATGCAATTCATTGATATTTAAATCCAGATGAAGACATGAATTTGAATTCTGATTTACATGACAATCGTGTTTCATTCTCTCGAAAGATATCGGTCATAGAAAGATATCGGTCATAGAAAGATATCGGTCATAGAAAGATATCGGTCATAATTCTTCCTACTTCACCTCCAATTGAGTTTATTATACTTATAAAATATACAATACTGTTTGGTTGTTTGTTTGTTTAGTGGCATATGAACACGTTATGGGTCATTTAATACAGAAATTTAATTTTTTGGGGCGCATTATTAATTTCATTTGCAATTTCTTTTTATTGCTGGTATTATTTATTTAATCTTTTATTTATTCATTTTTTACAAAAAATGTATTGCTGGTGTTTTACTATAAAAATGTATTTTTATGCTTTCATAATATTTTATTGACAGTTTGGGGGGTTAATTATTTGCCCATAGCTGGGACCATAACAGGTGCTATCATCGCGGGTCAGGGTGGACCTGGGAACAACTGCAAGGTGGTGCCGTGCTCCTCAAAACCTCCCGATCAGGGGCCTTGCTGCCGGATACAGTTTATCGTCATACCCAGAACAAATACTAACTGCAATTTAATCCCTTTGTAATAAATGACAGATCTACTTCTGTTTGTCTACATGGAATTTCTTTCGTAGACACACACTTTTAGTATGATTCTGTCTATATTTCTGAGATGAGGTATTCTGTACAGTATTTGCATTAGTCGGACTATTGTCCTCTCTTTGTCGCCATATTTGTCACAACGTTTCGGCCGTTGTACGCTCCGGCCTTCTTCAGGTGGCTGGAATTTCGAACTGAACCCTTTATTTCGATCACTGGGGTAGACTTTTCTAGTTCCACGTGCCATGTTTGATGGATGTCAGTTATCAATTATCTCCTGCTAATTTTCCCTCTGAAAGTTCTCCACTGCCTTAACCAGGAATTGAAAGACATGCAATGATAACAGCAAAATTGCAATATGAGCACTGGTAAAAATGATGCTGAAAACATTAGGTTTATAATACTCAGAAGTTCATACCCAGATGTCCTCAAGGACACATGGCACAGTGGATAAAGGTGTTGGCTAGATCCAGTGACAGACCCAAAGTAGGTGAGTTCAATTGAAATAACTGACAAAAATATTGAGCTCTACTACAATATTTTAAGTTTTTATATGTAACTGTAAGATCAATTTTGTTGTTATAGATCATCTTTATTTTCTAATTTTTTAATCATTTCGCCCAGAGCAAGGCAATAAAGCCACTAAGACGCAAGGGGTTACTGAGTGTAATAGAATATGAATAAAAAACATTATTAAGGTTCGAGATCAATAAAAGAACAGAAATCAAGAAGTCAGAAGATAACCATTGATATTGGATTTAAATTTCTGAATATCAAACTTGACTGGAAAGCAAGAAGAGTTACACAAGCGAGAAGTGCGAGAAAAGAAACTGTTAACATAGAATTTACGGTTAAATCTAGTCATTTCAACTGTAAAATGAAGAAAACATAACTAGATCTCTTGTACAAGGCTTAAATTCGTACAGTCGAGGTACCAACAAAGAATTTTCATCAGAACAATATATATATATATATATATATATATATATATGTGTGTGTGTGTGTGTGTGTGTGTGTGTGTGTGTGTGTGTGTGTGTGTGTGTGTGTGTACTCACCGGTCAATTTAATCGGGACCCCACTTCTACTTTTAGAACCGGCTCAGTTCTTATTGGCAAGAATTCGATGATGTTTTGGAAGCAATTTCGATCCGTGTTGTTAGCAGGGCATCTTGCAATTCTTCAAAACTGGTTGGCTGCATTTCCAGGATTAGAATTTGCAAAATCCTAAATGCGCTTTATGCGATTGAAAACTATTGACCATGGAGACTACTTTAACACGGAAAATTCGTTGCTGTGTACCATTAATTTACCTGTCACCATGCTTGATTTATGACACAGTGCGTTGTTCCATCGGAAGTTGAAGTGAGGAACTGTAGTCTGAGAGTCATAAATTGCAGCAGATGATCAGCCTCAATACCTAGGCAGTCTGCGCGATTACATTGATCTTTTATTGGTATCATGGGTCCCAATACATGCCAAAGAAATGTTTCTCATACTATATATATATATATATATATATATATATATATATATATATAAACGCTCTGTCACGGATATTGAGCACTTTTTACCCATGAATATAGCATATATTAAAACTGTATTTTATCATATATATATATATGTATATATATATATGATGTGTATATATATATATATATATATATATATATATATATATATATATATATATATAGCTTCGTATAGTTTCTCCCGAAATTAAAGCAACTATACGAAGCTTAGAACGACTCATGACCAAACATAATAGGAATTCGTTGTCTGTCATATTTAACAATATATATTTGAATAAATTATATATATATATATATATATATATATATTATAATAAAGAGAAAGAACAGTAAGATATATAATCCGGTGTTCTTATTAATATTTTTATTTTTACAAAATAATGCTCAATGAAAATCTACAGAGAATAAATATTACAAATTTACTAATTTAAAACTATGGTTCCATCGCTACACAGGAATTACCAAGTTTCAAAATCAGAAGCTAAAAACTTGAAATTCAGTTACAAAATTAAAGTCCCTAGTTCTGTTTCATTTTCAAGCTAATTTTGGAATAACTTATTTTAAGATTTACTGAGTTTTATATTAATTTCGTGATATGCTGTGAGATTGTATAATATAAAAGACCTATTGACCTTATAGGACGTTTTATATTATACAATCTCACAGCATATCATGAAATTAATATAACTGTCATTGGATTATACAGTGACGATGGACTTATGATTATAAAGATCTCCACGAACTTTAAAATCGATAGAATTAGAAAGATATTATATAGAGAATTTAAATGCCTGAACTAAAAAATTACTGTAAGCACTAAATTGAAAAAAGTGAACTTCCTTGATATAACATTAGATTTAATGAAAAATGTATACATACCTTATAAAGAACCCAATACTAATCCTTTGTATATACACCCTAAATCTAATCATCCTCCATCTATAATTAAACATATACCTTTATCTATCGAAAAAAGAATAAGTACAAATTCAGCAAATGATTTTTCTATGAACTTATTAATTTCTATAATAAAGTTCTAAAAGATAGTGGCTACAAAATCCCAAAGCTAACTTACATAAAAAATGAAAATAGAAAGCATAGAAAAAAACAGAAGTAGAAAAATAATTTGGTATCCACCTCCATACAACCAAGAACAAATTAAGAACAAATTAGGACAAAAATTCCTTACATTAATCGTTAAACATTTTCCTAAAGATAGTAAACTCAGTACTATTTTCAATAAAAATACCCTAAAGTTAAGTTACAGCTGTACTGAAAATTTATAAAAAATTATTAAAAAACATAATGCTAATATCTTGAATAAACACTTAGACCAAGACCAAAGAAATTTAGAGAGTAAAATAATAAAAAGAGATGAAGATAAACAAAAATTATGTAACTGCAGAAATCCTCATAACTGTCCTCTTAAAAATAAATGTCACACTGAATAATTAGTAGACCAATGCAATATCTCATCTACTGATGATCCAGACAACCTAATAAGTCTGCATTGGACGCACAAAACATGAGTTCAAAAAACGGTTTAACCAACATCAAAGTTCTTTTAGGATAAATAAATAGCGAAATCAGACGTCCCTATCGAAATATTTCTGGCACTTAAAAGAAACCAATAAAACATCTGTGAAATGGAAATTAATAAGGAAAGCCAGAATATGTATGTCATTAAATGCACCTCTACCCTACTTAACCTCTTTTCGAAAGTAACTCATATTTTGATACAATAGTCATCAGTGAAAATGAATACCCTACCACTCCTTGTTAAAATGATTGGATTTCCCCATATCCTTAGAAACTAACATTATGAATGTATGTGCTTTTAAAACTCATTAAATTTCAAAATAAGATATTCCAAAATTCACTTGAAATTGAAACAGAACTAGGGACTTTAATTTAATTCTATAATTGAATTTGAAGTTTTTAGCTTCTGTTTTTAAAACATGGTAATTCCTGTGTAGCGATGGAACCATATTTTTAAACT